GCCCGAAAGGCCCGACCGTCCGCCGACAACTGCAGGACCACCTCCCCCGCCCACAACACTGCCACCAGACTCACCTCCCCGTCCACTCACCGCCCCTGCACATGCCAGTCGTGTCCCTGCAGCAACTGGCCCTGCTCCCCATGATACCCCTCCCGGCTCGATAACCCTCTGACCTGTCAACTGCTCGAACAAGTCGGCCATCTCCATAGTCTTCCCAATATCCCCCGATACCCCCGAGGGTGCTGGCGGACTAACAGGCACGAAAGAAGATGGAGGCACAACCTTCCAAAGCCTCTTCAATATATGCCTGCTCCTGCCCATCACTGGATCAATCCCAGCAGTGTGGCGCTCGAGTGGGGACATGCTGGGCACAGGGTGTGCAACAACGTCATCGGGGTCCACCTGTCGCTCCTCCTCGCTGCGATGTGCATCCATAGCATCCACCGCGACAAGACCATCCTGAGTGTGATCTGCGACCACATCCTCCATTGCGGCAACGGCAACGCCGACAAGTGCTCTATCCACCTGCCCCTCCACCTCCGTGCGATTGCACCCAAGCAACCCCCCTGTGTCTGTCGTGGCCGCACCGTCGCCCCCGTCCGCCTCATCAGTACTGGGTAGTAGCGTGTCGCTGGCCCCACGTAAACCACGCAACCCTACCCTCGCGTCCTCCTGGTGGTCGTCCGCACGATCCACCATGTGTCCCTCTGTGCAGAGTACCATCTGCAACATCTGCAGGACCATCGTGTCTACACTCTGCTGCTAGTCTGGCGGCAGTGACCTCCTCTACACTACACCCCATCTCCCTCGCCCTGGTCGTGTCCTGCTCCAACGCAAGCCGCTGTGTCGTGGCACACCCCGACACCATCCGTGCTAAACTCTCCTCCTCAAGCACGTCCTCGGGGTCCATATGTAGCCTCCTGGCAACACGACCGACGTCGTCACCAGTCCTGCCCTCCTGTATCTCGCCTGGCGCTCTGGCAGCCTCTGTCAACAAACCTGAACTAGCACCACCAAAAACCGACCCTATGAGGTGTGCGACTTCGCTCACCGGTGTCTAAACACGCACCCCGTCGCGCCGAGCATCCGAAGTGGGTGGACGTCCAAGGTCGAAGTCGTCACTGAAAATGCCTGAGGGAATTGATCCCTGTGGTACCTCCAAACCAAATCCATGTCCGCCACTACCGCCCCCGCCCACTGCACTGGGGCCAGGAGTAACAAGGAAGGCGCCACCCGCTCCGTCCTCAATCGGCCCACTACCATCACCTCCGTCGAATCCATGCTCGTCCCCATGTCCTCTGTCCTAGTCGGGTCCCTCTCTCTCGACGTCGGAGTCCTCGTCATCGGCGGCATGTCCGTCGTCAGACCTGTCACCTCCCTTGTCCTCGCTCGACGATCGCACAACCTGTGTCTGCTTGCGCCCTCTATCCGCCGCACTCCTAGTCAAGGGAGGGGTCATGCGATCAATATCACAATGGCTCTGCCGATCCCACGAACGCATATCACTGGCAGCCTCATGATCACTCTCTCCGTCGGACTCGTCACTAACATCAAGTGTGTCACTGCCTCTCTGCTCCAAGTCCTCTGGGTCCGTCCACGGCTATGCCTCCATCTCGTCTGCAGCATGAGGGTCCGTGGGTGGATCGTACTCGATCTCCTCGTTGTACAGCTCGATATGAGCTGCACGACGACCAAACACAGTCTGAACCGCAGGGGGGTGGCGAACCATCGAGGCACGCTGCATCCTGCGCGCCTGGCGCGCGATCTCCTCGTCTGTCAATGACCCCGGCGGCAGAGTACCTAATCTGCGCAGCTCCGGGACGTCGTCCAACCCGTCCTCAACATCACCCCACGGCAGAACAAGTCCCCTCCTCCTCTGTCTACACGCCAGGAGCGTCTTGTTTGTGCACATCTCCACCATTTCAGTCAGCTTCGTGAAGTCCAACCCGTTGCGGCGTTTCTCGTGGATACGCTCGCGCAACGCCCAGTTCCTCTCCGCAGGAGAGGCGCAGACCCACGTGTACATCAGACGTTTGGCGATGGCACAAAGCTCAGGGGCACAGCTGCCGTGCAAAACCCACCAATCGACAATGGCCTGTGTCTCATCCGGCCCCTTGCACGTGTCCTCGTCTCCAGTGCCTGCATCTCCACCCCAATCACCTAACGATTTTTTTTTTTTTAATTTTGAAAAA